GAGTGTTGGTGGCGGCAGCGCCTCCCGTGGTAACATGAGTGTTCCCCGAGATGCCAGGCAGCAGCACTATCTTGCTGGAGAGCAAGCCTCCACCGCCTACGGCGGCACCGAGAGAGCCCGTCTGCTGGAATTTCGCCGGGGTTTTGGTCTGCCGGCCACGCTGGGTGGTCGTGGTATCCATGTCGGTGTCCATGATGTCGTGTTTTCCGCGGTTTGTGTTGTGTCGTGTGTGTTGTCGCGAAGTGAGCGCTACAACTCACGGACGGCGTCATTTTTTTTTGACACAAGTTGCACAAGTCTACGTCACACGTTTAAAATAACTGCACACAGGTTCCAAGTTTTTGAAAGACAAATGTCGAAAATTTTGACAAAAAAGTCGGTCCGTTTAAAACGGCCCTTAGGAAACTTTCGGGGGCACCAATACCCTATGTCCTATTGATGAAGTCCAAGGGCCTCGCGGGGAGAACCAGATTTGCGTTCGGGTACCCCTGCAAACGAGCTACGACCCTCGCTTGAGCACCCCCAAGTCATGATCACCAAACGGGTGCGCATCGCATCAAGAGAGCACAAAAACGCTCAAAACTGGGGGGAAACGCCGTCACCACCAGTACAAGAGGGCTTGTAATGGCTCAACGCAATGAAACAAAAATGCTCAAAGAACAGTGTTGGCAGGGTACCTAGGTATGCGGGATAGCTCTTTGCGGGTACCAAGGTTGTCACGGAAAGAGTTACGTGGGTAGTCTACGATGGCTGAAATTTTCTACCTCGCGATTAAGGCTCCAACAACAGCAGATAGTGCAAAGAAGACACATTGGCACGTGCGACACACATTTATCCAACACACGTGGGAGTCTATACTCGCCTCCTGCGTGTTAGGTGCAGCTGCAAACAGTAGCACTTATTCCTGCTCGGCCACTTCCCTTTTTGCTGGAGGTGATGCAAAGAAGAGAGAGGGTGAGTCGGCAACGACAAAACGGTCACCCCACCGCGTGCGTAGGAAGGACGGCACAACGTGCATTCGGTGCAAGTCAGATCATCCGGTGGGCGGCTTTGGTGAAAGCGCCAAGATTTCAACTGAAACTTCATACAAGACCAATGTACGCTGTTGCTCCAGGAAAGTGTGTTCATCAGCAAAACGATCGGTTTTGACGGACGAATTTTGACAGCACCACGTCCGTCCACGTAGGTTGGAGGAAACTTGTTGTGGTTCTCCGTCCGTGGACCGTTTGTGTAGGGGAATGAAGGGCAGAAGACATTCATCTTACAAGAAGGCTGTGCATACTGGCGCCGGGGTCTGACATTCACGCCTTCGGCTCAGGTGGTCGCACGTGCAATGTGAGATCTCCACGTACTCGGATGAGAACAACATAGAGGAGGGGGTCCATCATCCACACAACTTCTTCTCCGTAAGGGTGCACTTGCGCTGCACTCACCCGAAGTTGACCTTGATTTTCTTGCTCTTGCCCGTGCGCGGCGCCTTTCGTTGAAGAGATTCATAGAAGATTGATAGCGTGGTTGCAAAGGCGGAGGAAAGGAGCGCAGGCGGGCACGGGATAGAGAGATTCCAACAGCAGGGGGAGGTAAGACACGGGGCAAGAATCACGATAGTCTGCAAGTACGATGCAGAGGTCAACGTGAGGCTGAATACGTGGGGCAATGACGGAACGTAGCAGTGCAACAGGCGGGGGCAGAGTAGTATGCATAACAAATTTCATCCGGTTCTGTTTCCCAAGGGCAACGATACCGGACACACAAGGTACGCGCGTGCTGACAGGAGAGTAAGCGCGGCAGAGGCGTCGTCAGTGAAGGGCACTAGAGTGTATTTCGTTTGATATCACCAACCAGGTGGAACACAATTGAAAAGATGGCGCACACTAGCAACACATCACACATTTAGCGGAAGGAAGGTGGTAAGGCGATATGTGTGTGTTGGGCGTAGAGAAAAGTACTACATCATTCCCAAACAGTTCAAGCACCGATGAGAACGCGGAAGGTAGCGATTAATAGAGTCAGACCAGCTAACTGCAGCATCGTTATCATATCTTGATGGGGGAACTACTCCACATATGACGTCGGTGCACTCTACCGTCACAAGTCGTGAACTGGCCGAAAAAGTATTCCCGCCTTTTAACAGTGGCAGAAATGGTTGTCCGTCTAATACAACGGGCGACGTCAAAGTCCGAGAACTGACCTTCAACAATACGGCCTCTGTGTATACTGTAGTCTATACGAAGTTGGCAAAAATGAACAAATCAGAAAACTGCTGTCAGCCATTTGCTCTCTCTCTCTATCGTACATTTAGCGAAAGGAAGGTGGTTAGGTGATGTGTGTGTGTTGGGCGTCGAGAAAAGTACTGTATTATTCCCAAACAGTTCAAGCACCGATGACAACGCGAAAGGTAACGACTAATAGAGTCAGACCAGCTAACTACAGCATCGTTATCATATCTTGATGGGGAAATTACTCCCCGCCGGACACAAACCACATATGACGTCGGTGCACTCCACCGTCACAAGTCGTGAAATGGCCGAACAAGTAGTCCCGCCTTTCATCATTGGCAGAAATTGTTGTCCGTCTAATACAACGGGCGACGTCAAGGTCCGAGAACTGACCTTCAACAATACGGCCTCTGTGTATACTATAGTCTATATGAAATTGGCAAAAATGAACAAATCAGAAAACTGCGGGCACCTTATCTCTCTCTCTCAGTTCAAGCACCGATGAGAACGCGAAAGGTAACGACTAATAGAGTCAGACCAGCTAACTGCAGCATCGTTATCATATCTTGATGGGGGAACTACTCCCCGCCGGACACAAACCACATATATATGACGTCGGTGCACTCCACCGTCACAAGTCGTGAAATGGCCAAACAAGTAATCCCGCCTTTCATCAATGGCAGAAATGGTTGTCCGTCTAATACAACGGGTGACGTCAAGGTCCTAGAACTGACCGTCAACAATACGACCTCTGTGTATACTATTGTCTATGTGAAATTGGCAAACATGAACAAATCAGAAAAATGCGGGCACCTTTTCTCTCTCTGTGTGTGTTCGTTCAAGTACAAACAAACGACACCCGTCGAGCATAAGGGTGCGGACCCACGATAGAATCTACCGAATCCACGTGAGTCAAGAAGACCCTCAAGCTCTTTCGATTGACCAGATTTCCGATACACTACACGGCACGGCCTTTCTGTTGGGAGCGCTTCTCAGTCGCTACCTGCAAGTTGGTATCTCTAAGCTGGCGTGATCAAATTTAGACAGTGTAAACATAAATTTGGTCAGCTCCGTGTGGACAGCCAACAATGGGAGGGCCTGCACGAAGACCAAAGCCCATATACTCGAAGGTGCGGAAGCTCCAGGGTGTTGTGCCTCCCACGTCGACCGTCAACATGCACACTCCACAGCCGTGCTCAACGCTGCATTAGGGCCGGCACTAGAGAACGAGCAAAGCTCACGTGCATGATACGGTACTCGTCACCACCAGAGCCTCGGATTTTGCCCGAACCTGAATTCATTGTTTGGCTTGTACTTCTGCATTCCCAAGTGCTTCAGTATATAAAACCCAGACACACATGGCCCAAGTTGAAACGCGAGATGAAGCAACACCCGCCACCCCCCCACCATCTCACCCACCGCACCTCTACATACGCGCTGATACATCTGTACAGAACTGCTGTCGGTGCCTGCACTCGACGGCCACGTAGACTATACAAGCGGAGGGAAAAAACTGCTTCTGCACGCACGCCCCCCGCACCTGACGCACGGCGTGTTGCACCTACATGCGCCACATAGAACTGCACTACTGCTCCTGTGTTGGGGGCTTGAGCGTACCTATGCGAGGCTCAATCGATGCTGACCTTTGTCGTTGGGCTTCTGCTTCGCCTTGCCCCCGGCACGTTGCCCACTCTGTTGGCTGCTGATCCATCGTCCGGCTCGGGCGTACCACCACCGCCTCCATCCAGCTGCGTCGACAGGAGACGGCCTGGAGTCTGCTACGGAGAAAGGGATGGTGGCGGTCCCACCTCCACGTGCGAGTGCGAATTCTCCTGCCAACCTAGACCCATCTGGGGGGCTGCCGTACCCCTCATCTGGGTTGTGATGCCTAGGCGTGCTGCGCCTGTGTGGCGTCTCGGAGGCGTCGGAGTCGAGTCGATGGCGAGCACAACGACTCCAGCAAGAAGGTGGCCGCAAGCAAAACTCTCCTCCAAAAACGCACTCCCTCCTCGAGCCGACGCCGGCGTACGCCCAGCACGCAACGCCCTAGCGCAGCCGCGGGGAGGCGAAGAACGCCTTCGGGCCGCGCGGCTGCTGCGCGTATCCCCACCTTCGTGTACCCTTGCTTTCAGCTACCCCCAATCCTTGCTCCGTTTTTGGAGGCCCAGAATTCCACGCATCAGGTCAGAACACTTCCTGCGCGCGGCGCGGGAAAAGTCTTAGCGTGCCACGTCCCAGCACCCTCCCGAACAAACTTCCTCCGATACTCTCAGCTGCGGACGTATTTGGCCTTCGCGTCGTACAGATTCGAAGCCAGTGTGGCGTGCTGTTGCACCTAGTGTGGTTTCGCCACCCTGCCCTCTTCTCCAACAGGAAAAATCTCCTGTTTCAAAAAAAATGTCCGGCCTTCAACGAAAACTTCCGGTGCCCTTTTTCCGGTTAGAAGTGCGGGGTAATCGCCGTAACCGGAAAAACACACCGCTACCGGAAAAACGGCCGCCTACCGGAAGTTTTCACCCTTTAGGGGAACCCCCCTATTACCGTCGGCAACCACCGCCTCGCGGACGAGGTTATTCTCCACGCGGGGAGATGGAGAGGCGTCGTCCCTGCCTTGTTGTGTGAGGAAGAAAGCAGGTCGGCGGCGTTGTTGGCACCTTCGGGGGGTGCGAGTCTCACCAGCCGCTGCCGTTACCGCGGGGTGATAGGCGGTAAGTGTTCCTCCGCGTTCACCCGCGATTCGGGCGATCTTTCATTCCGCTGTGCACCAACATGGTATCCACCTCACCGCAAGCCCAACCTAAGTGTCTGGTGTGTGGTCACTCGTCTGACGACATGCCAATGTGGTGGCGGTCTCAAACAACATGCCCTCAGAAACAGCAACAGCAGAGAGAGAGGGGTGGACGGAACCACGGATCGGGTGGATCTGACGGGAAAACGTTTTATTCTACTTAATACAGCCGACCAGCGACCTCGCTGACCACCAGCAGACAATGGCGCAGGCGGACATTGCATACCAAGGCATGTCTCACACAACGGGACCGTATGGTCATGCTCATGCTCGGGCAGACCACAGTCTGGGTGATTGCTGCACGCCATGGTACATTGTATTGCAAGGTCGAATACCGCTGGCATGACCGGCAGTCAACCGCAATCGGTGGTCCCAATCGATGGTCTCCGCACAGCACGCTGGCCAGTTTCATCGTGCTGGCGCAGACCAAATTGGTGAGTTAGGAGACATATGGAATATAGAAACAAGGAGAGCACCGTGGGTATAAGCAGACCCTGGGATTGTTTGGCTGGCACACAGTTTTTCAGTATCACAGATTTATCTGTCTCTTCCAGCGGTGGTCTTGATTGATTGGGAGTTTGGCTGGCACAAAGTGTTTCAGTCTTACAGCAGTCTCTGCCTCTCATTCTTTCCCCAAACTCAAACAAGAAACACCCGGGGGGGTATCCAAACAACCCCCCCACCACACACCACCACACACCACCACACCACCAAAACCGGAAAAACTGGAACCGCGACATTGCCATATATGCAATTGACTATCCACCCTCGCCGCACGACACGTGTCCATGCACATACATACATACATAATATGATGATGGCCAGTTGGCCAGAGGGTGTGCGCTGAAGACATGGCCGTCCGTGCTGTAACGGTCCCAAGCAGTAGTCCATGTCCACAGCTTGAAATAAGTTCGGGACGATACACGATCCATGATCCGACGACGGCGGGTGCGGAATTCAGAGTTGAATTCCTTTTTTTGTTCGGTTTCGGTGCCCCGCTGTAGCGTCAGAAACTTCCATGTTAGCCTGTATAGCTAACGGGTTACAGGGAGCGGTAAAAAAACAACGTCACATTGTCATTTTAACAGACTCTCCTTGGACGGGTACAGCAAAATATCAAAGCGAGCGTCAGTCGTATCACATGTCGCCGACCGTTCAAACCAAAAGTGGATGCTCGGCAAATCCGGGAAAATATATCGCTCCCTGTTTAGTGTGCGTTCGCTGTTCACCGTGAAATTTCGGATTCTTACACGAAAACAATAGGAGATTTCAATGTCACGCTGTTCCCAACACAAGATTCTTCCTAGCGTCGCCCCCCCACCTCCACCCCCATGCAAAATCATGGCGTCAACAAAAGCTCCCACCAGCCCAACGCGTGCTCCACTCGCATCCTCATTGATGAGTGCATGAAGTTGAAGTACCGCTGTTCCCGAGAGGATGGCATGGTGTACGGCGTACGCATCCACGGTCCCTCGGCAAAGGCCGAATCGCCGAGGATACACGCCCCGTTCGCGAAGATCCTGCGTTCGTCAACAGGTTTGCTTTGCTCGCGCTGAGCAGCCTTGTAGAACTTCGTGTGCTGAAGTACGCCGCTGTCCCCACACGATCCAGCACAGCCGGAGCAGGTCCACCGGAATAGGCCGCGGTTATCCACTATCGCCAGCAGGATGATGGAGTAAAACTTCTTATAGTTGTAATACGCCAACTGCTGGTGCTCCGTGGGGGCAGGAATCTTGATGTGGCTGCCGTCGATGCCTCCAACGACTTTCCTGTGAGGACGATGAATGGGGGGGGGGGGTGTTCCAATCGACCAATGACAAAACACGGGCGTCTCCATCAGATATTACGCCTTTAAAGCATCAAGGCACATGTCCGTCGCTTCAGCCCGTTGGTTCGTTCGTTGGACTTGATCCCTAGGTTTACGTCGGCTTGCCATATTGCAAGAATTAATGTATCAGGACACGCTTTTAACCATATGGAGACATGGGTAGGTTTGCATGCTCAGGGGGGCCACCGTACTCGATTCTGTTGGTCATGTGGACAAGACCGAGGAACTACACCCTGCGCCGTGGGGGGCTATTCAGCCCGATGGAGGCGTGAGAGCGAAGGGTTGTTGCTATGAAATTTCGTTGGTTCGACACTCTTTGAGTAGACTATACCCGAAACTATTGAGGAAACCAGGGGTTACACAAAAGGCCTCTTCTGGGGCAGCAACTCTAGGTTAGCGGTGGCAATCATGGGCTAGCGACGGCCCTGAAATTCTAGATCCTTTAACATCGGAAGGCGAATACTTGATCATATAGTGTTAGCTGTCGTCATTGGTGAATGGGAATGAGGCAATACTTACGCATGACAGGCGAAGGTACTCGTTTATTCGATGTCTGCGGCTGATGTAGATCAAAGGAAGCACCTCTCATGCCTCACCTCAGTGACTTCTCCTTTTCCCATGCCGTCGAGATCTCGCTCTGCTCTTCCGGGCTTGGCCACCTCACATACTCGCAAAGTAGACGCTTCCTGATTCGCCTCGCCACACTCATGGTCCAGTTGACCACTGCCCCTTCCGCCATGTTGAAGTGGCTAGCGGTCGCTCTCACGCCTGAGCCGTGTCCAACGCGGAAAAGGAACACAGCCACACGCTCGCACGGGTCGATGTATGGTCCTGTATTGTTGACGCGGAAGACGTACGTAGTGCCGAACAGCGCGTGCACCAGCCTCCGGAACGTTGATTTCCTGTGGTGACCAGCGGAACCGAACACGAACATTTTTGCACGGGGCGGTTTGAACGATCAGTAGTAGTCCTAATCAGTAGAGTAAACCAGGGTATTAACGAACACCCCCCCTTTAACGAACACTTTTTTCAAATGCACGTCCCTCGGCGCACAATGCGCGGAGCCCCCCAATTTTTTTTTTGAAATCTTCAGCTTTCCGTTAGCTTTCGTTTGAGCACCTCCGCGTGTCGATCGGGTCAAGCACTCCCGAGATACAGCACAGCCCTCACCCACACCCCTTATGTGGGGCATCTTTGCCCTTTTCGGGGTCCTGCTGCTAAGCATGGGACGTAAGAGAGTAGACCCAGAGCAGGCCCAGAAGGCTGTAGATGCGGTACGCAGCGGTGAGATGTCGCTCCGCGTTGCTGCGAGGACCTACGGGTTACCGCTAGCCTCGCTGCACGACCGTGTGAAGAACAAGGTGGCCATAGATGCGAGGGTTGGTCCCGGGACTGTCCTGAGCAAGGAGGAGGAAGATTTCGTAGAAGACGTCTTGATCTACGCCTCCCGACACTTCTTGCTGTTGGGTCGGAGGGAGCTGAGAGACGCTGTGCGCAACATCTGCACCGACGGGCGCAAGGTGCCCTGGGACCCAGACAAGGGCCCTGGGGACAGCTGGCTTGAGGGGT